TTTGTTGAGCTGGATTTTTTAATAAGCTGTTCAGAAGAGGCACCAAGGTCAGCAGTCAGCCTCCTACATTTACCTACAAAGAGGTTCCAAAAAACAGAAGAGGGGACTTCATTGAAACAACAATGTTTTTGCAGAAAGTTTAATGTACCATTTAAACCAAAATCATCTAAATTTTCTCTTAACCCACAGGCATCTGTCCAACTAAATCGCTAGACCACTTGTTTATTTATAATGTAGGAATCACTTGCTAACCTCAAATGTAACATCTGAAAAGCTGATCACTGTGCCACTCATAATTTACTTACTTATAACAATATCTTATCTCTGAAGAATTCAATGAAATTTACATAAATACATGTAATAAAGCAAGATAAATGATTTATGTAAAGGAGAAAAAGAAAAATGAGACAAAGGAAAATTGAATGTAGGAACAATAAGCTTTCCTAGAAGTGAGGCTTATGTATTGAATGCATGTCTTCTATAAAAATGTGCATATTTCCTAGATATAGGTCAAAAGTTTGTCTCTTAATACTTTCCAAAAAGGCACAGACTAACTCAATCTTACATAATTCAGTATCCTTAAGATAAAAACAAAAGGTATTAGAGTACTATTTCTCTCTTCATCTTCATAAAGAAGATACTATAAAATGTAGCCATGTCCATAACAAGACCCTTGCAGTTGATTTGTCAGAGAGCTCTGGAAGAGCATTTCTCATAACAACTATCACAAGCAAAGTGACAGGGCCAAAAATCAAGTAAATCCAAAGATGGAGAAGAAGGGAGGGGAATACCAAGGAATGGGTTCACATACACAGCTCCATGAAAGTCTAACTTCACCAGAAAAAAAGATTTAATTTTATCTAAACTAACTTTAAATATAGAGGTTTCAGGCCTTTTAAGCTGTAAATAATGCTTAATGTGCATGTCCATTTTTTTCATGAGGGATATGTCTGTAGTTTTTAAAACATTCTCAAAGGGGCACATAACTCAACAAAAGTTAAGAACCACTGATCTTCTAAACAAGACTGCATACATGTGTCCTTCAGGTCAAGCTCCAAAAGCAGTTTCTCTTCTGAGGCTGGGAAATGTTGAACCTCAAGATGCCAGCCCTTGACAAGCACCTGAAGTACTGTTTTGTTCTTTCATATAAAATGTGGAACTTTTTCAAGCTGTGTGGCAACTGTCAAGATATATACAACCTTTAATACAATAACACCCATATGGAGCACAAAACAATCTATTCTAGAGAGCTATCAGGCGTGAACAAAGGCAAAGCTGCCCCAAAGAAGTGGTGATGTTTCTTCTGAATAGTATTTTTAAAATTATAAATCACCATAAACCAAACATTTTCCTACATAAACTTATTTTTGAACTTTGAAGATAAACTTTCCATACTGATAAAAATCTAGGCTTCTTTTCTAACCTTTTGTTGTTTTAATTTATGCAACAAAACAATCACTGCCATAGCTGTAGACATATACGCATACAGTCTACCACCTATTGGTACTATTGTGGGTAAGAGCTTCAAGGGAAGAAGCTGGCCTACAGAACTGTGGAAACACACTCTTTAAGATCTCACATCTAAGTAAAGTTACAGTCATCCAGAATCTAGTCTTCGGCATAACAAATTCAGAGATACGTATTTATCCCCAAAGAACTAACAATGCTAACCCTACTCACTAAAAGGCTGAAGTACAAATCAGGATAGCAACGTATTGATCACTTTTCACTCATAATTAAATTTGCACTTGATGCCATGATACTGCTTTCTCAATGCCTCAGTATATAAATCGAATTCAGAATTAGTAAACAGAAGTTTGCCAACAGAACAAACAGAGAAAGTTTGGGAATACCTAATGAATTATCCATGTTCAAGATATATCTTTGTAGTGACCAAAGTTGTGGTTCTCACAAGTAGCTTTTCTCTCAACACACAGACTTCTTGGTCACTGAGCTTTCTTCTTTCATATCCTTCTCTCCATTAAGTATTTCTCTAGTCAGGGTATAATACAACTGATGAAGGTGTGCTTCATAGGCATTATTATCTTCATGTTTTAGTTAAGACACTCCCAGAGCAATTTACCCAAGGTCACAGCTAGTACATGGCAGAGCACACATTTAAAGGCAAAAATCAAGTCAAAGCCTATGCTATAATCTTGTACTAAATGATGTCTTCTTGATGTTTTGCCCTGGACCTCCCACCTCCCAGTGTGATTTAAATGCTCCTCCTCTGTGTTCCCTTAACACCATAAACACAGCATGGTTGTAATTTTTGGTAAATGGATCTATAGATTCTCTCACTAAATTAAAACTTTTTGATGACAGAAGCTCTCTCTCCGTAACCCTTGCATCCCTAGAGCACTAGATACTAGCCAAATATTCAAACTAATTTATCCAATGGTTAAATATAAAGACCAACAAACTAAAGGTCTAAAACTAGCCGGGCTTAGCAGGTCACAACTTCTCCAAATATCAATAACTGATCTTTTTAAAAAAATAGTATGAAATGGATATACAAAACAAAATGGATATAACAAGGATACACAAGGTTCCTTCTGGATGTAAAAATCATTATAATTATAAATGGGCCCTGGTATTTTATGGCCTATCTTATCAGTGTGAATTATTAAAAATAAAATTCAACACCTTATTTATCTTCTGTATCGTTCTGAGACAGTTTGTATGTGCACACTGGCATGTACGCCTATATTTATACATATTTATAGAGTATAGAAAAAGATTTATCTTTCTCAAAGGAGATAACTATCACCTATAACAAAATCAAACAGTGGCACCCTCCTCTGGTCAATGTTAAAGGAACTAAGCCTCACAAAAGACAAGAATGTGTGGGATTTTCTTTGAAGGATATATAAAAGAAAAGCAAGAAATAAATAACCCAGCAGTGTTCATTATCACACTCCCAGTAGCAATTAACTCCTTTTGTAGCACTTTCTTTATGTTGCCCTAAAACCAAGCCAGAATAAATGAACTGACTGTACATGGTAGGAGGTTATAGAAAGGATAATTATTCTATTTTCAAGTATACTATCAATTATTTTACTAACAACAAGCTTTTTAACACAAGGCACAATGAAAAGCATTTCATAGTCTGGCTAAAAATAATCATCTTTTCATTTAAATATTTAAAAATTTATGAAAAGCCAATTACATGTAAAATATCTTTAGTTTATCAAAAGCATTTATCACACCCCTTTTCTGGATGATATATTTACTAGATAGTACTGTAAATACTTCGATCTGAAACACATTTGGGCCTCCAACTTTCAAATATTAGAAAAATCAACTTAAAGAAAAAAGCATTTTTAAATAACTATCACACAAGCATGCTGAAAACATGCCAAGGTATCATACACAACCACAACTTGAAGTTTTATGACTTTAACATTACATCTAAACCTTTAAATTAAAAATAAAACTGCTTTCTAACACCAGAATCAGATTATGATTAGCCAACAATTTTAATATAAAAATATATAGTACAAGCTTATTAAATGATTTACAAATGAGAGAATCTCGGCTTTCTTTACTCTCACTGAATCTACGCACATAAAATGAAAATGCGGAAATTATGACTCAAGAAAACAAAATCACTCAGAGTGGCAATCTTGTCATTCAGGTATATTTTTAACCAAACAATGTCTCTTCCCTCGATTGTCTTTCATCTTCTCCGTGGTCGAGGGAAGGGGGAGCCGCACATCACACAAAAGTCTATAAAATTACTAGAGAGAAACTTTCATTCTGAAAGATTATAAAAAGACTAGGGTGGATGCAAATCAGCAAAAATCATTTTCAGTTCTATCAAGTAACTTTTGCTACTGTTTCTCATTCTCGGCAAAGTTGTTTCATAAGGTGGGTAGACACAGTACTATGGAGAGCTCTGCAGATGGTAGGTGGAAAATGCAGATAAGATAACCAATTGAAAGTTTCTCAATGTTTACCCAAAACCAAGGCCAAAGAACAAGCAAACACCTGAAAGAGAATAACATTCCCTACAGTTCCCTACAGCTCACCCACACAGCAGAGGACAGGGTTTTTTAAAAAGGAAGAAAAAAGGAGCAAGATGCAATGTAACTTTGTTACCAACTGTCCACCGGGGAGAAATTGGGTGCCTGGCTGGGTACCCTCGGGAGCACGGCGAAAGGACATTTACAACTCACTGCTCCCCCGGCCCATGACCAAGTAGAAAGGCCAGCCATCTCAGGACCTGCAGGAACCCAGAGCCCTAGCTGGCAACAGGGGTGCGGCACATATGTGCGAGAGACACCTAAGCTGGCCTTTAGCCTCATATTCTGCTCCAGGATGAACCCCAAAGTAATTTAGGCGAAACGAGCTATTTGCGCCCCCATGCTGGCCAGGGCGCAGGAGTGAGGTCGAGACAGCGGCTGTAGTGCAGATGCAGCATATCTGCAAAGCCAATTTCGGTCCCGCGCTGCGATCCAGCTAAACACCCTCGGTCCGCAAAGTGCCCCTGTCAGAGGGCTCGCTATCATCTGCAAAGTTGATGGAGTTGGTAAGAAGCACAGAACTGCCCCCAGGGCAAAGGCGAAAGTCACAGCTGCTTCCTTCACCCTCGGGCAGGGGGCGGGGGGGGGGACTCGCACTACCCCTGCAGATTTTGGTCCCTTTACCTAAGAGGGTATCAAAGAAATGGTCTTCCTTCGTTGCGGCTAATTTGGTGTCAAATCCTAGAAAAGGTCACTGAGGCCCAGAGCCAAAGTTCACTGGAAATACCATTGGTTCTACCTGAAAAACAAGCACAGTCCTACGCTGGGTTCGGGCCTTGGAAATCTCATATTAAAACAATTTGGGGTGAATGACTCTACTCTAAACTGGACCCTCTGCCCCAAGAGCGCTCCATCCAGAAGCAGTTTGGTTATTTGAGTCCCGTTCTCCCAGACACCACGCCCCACTCCCCAGCTTCTACCCTGACGCCCACGCGACGTCCTGCTCTTACACACACACACACAGGTGACTCCTACCTCGCCGCCGTGACCATCGAAGATCCCGAAGATGGACGGGTGCGTCTTGTTGGCCAGGTCCGTAAGAACTTCGAAGCGGTCCTCCATGTGGTCTCTCCGGCCCTGGATGGAGTACACAGCCACGTTATGGCTCTTGAACTCCCAGGTCTTGGAAAACTCGGCCTCCAGAACGTCAAGCCCTCCAAGTCGATCGTTCTGCATGATCTCAGCCACCTTGCCCTTCACCATCTTCACGGCGTCCCGGCTGGACTTGACGATGGTCTTCACTTCGTCCGTGTGGAAGAAGTAACTCCACAGTGCCAAGCTGATGCACAGCAGGAAAAGCGTCTCGGGTCTCAGCAAGAAGTACCGCATGATGCGACCCAGCAGAGAGAGCAAAGTCATTGTATCCTCTATCATTTATTATCACTAGACCCCAACCACCAGCAGCGACGCGCGCCCCGAAGGCTCGCCGGGTCCCGAGCACTGCAGGGACTGCAGGCGGGAGGGAGGCGGAGCAGCAGCCGAGGTGGGGAGGGTTCACAGGATTATCTTGGGAATAAAATGGAATTTATAGAGGATGACTTTAGAAGATACTTTTACACTGGTGACATTTTCCATAAAAGTTTAGTTTCTAAATCTGGTTTGACCAAGGATATTGCCAGATGCCCATGGCATGGCAAACGCACCATATTCTGCCACAAACGTGTTTTACATCAACTTGCATTGTTCTAGATGACTCTGCTGCTACAGAGAAGTAAATGGTGGTAACATACTTTCCTTCCAGATTCAACTTTGAGGGGAATCCTGCACATTTTACCAAACACTTTACATTTCTATGTGT